GTCGAGACGTCCATTTCATGATACATTCATGTCCAGACTCTATACTCTTCTCAAACATATTTTTTTAAAAAAGTCTTTTACAAAAATTTGACAAAACTCGAAGAAGGAAGGAAAAAACTTCGTTTACATCTTTTCATAAATTCCTAAGAAATAGAACCAAAGCTTCGTTTTAGTCTATTTCTTTCTCTATCACACGCTGTGTGTGTGATATCTGAACGAGTCGTAGGCGATATTCTTATATAACATCGACAAAAAGTTCGTTGTACTTGAAACAGTCTTTATTCCATCTCGTTCTCTCTTCTCTCCTTCTAATACGGAGAAACGAGAACATTTGTCAATCTGCATCCATATTAAGCGAAAGTTGAGGACAGTGATCATTGGCCATCACAATCAATTTACTTTAACTTCAAAAGAAGAAGTCAGTTACTAGTGAATTTTTACTGTAGTTTTACTAATATAGCACTCTCAACCCTTTGGCTCCCGGTGACGTATAAATACGTCTAGTTGCAATTATTGCATGATCATAATAGCTAGAATAAATTTGAAAAAAGATTTGAATAGCTGGAAGAATTTCCGATCTCAGGTGGTGTATACAAAGGCTCCATCAGAACTCCTGAAATCACGGTCTCTGGAAAACTCAAATCTCAGAAAACCAAGTCCTAGAGTTCAATCCAGAAATTCTTTGCAAATATGTCTATCGTGTAGAGCAAACATTTCTGAAGAAAATGAGACGTCTCCGAGCTGTTTACGACATTTTCTCATGGAACAAGAATCAATTTACAGAAGGCCCTTAGGGGGTATCTTCTTGTTTTTCCGTTAGTTTTGCTGCTATGGGGCTTTCCGTAAGTTGAATGCTGCTCCATGAGAAAATGTCGTAAACAGCTCGGAGACGTCTCATTTTCTTCAGAAATGTTTGCTCTACACGATAGACATATTTGCAAAGAATTTCTGGATTGAACTCTAGGACTTGGTTTTCTGAGATTTGAGTTTTCCAGAGACCGTGATTTCAGGAGTTCTGATGGAGCCTTTGTATACACCACCTGAGATCGGAAATTCTTCCAGCTATTCAAATCTTTTTTCAAATTTATTCTAGCTATTATGATCATGCAATAATTGCAACTAGACGTATTTATACGTCACCGGGAGCCAAAGGGTTGAGAGTGCTATATTAGTAAAACTACAGTAAAAATTCACTAGTAACTGACTTCTTCTTTTGAAGTTAAAGTAAATTGATTGTGATGGCCAATGATCACTGTCCTCAACTTTCGCTTAATATGGATGCAGTGTATAAATGTTGTTTCGATTATTCCGTTTGTGTGTGTATATATGTATGAACATCAGAAATGTACCCTAAAAGGATACAACAATCTTTTGTGGTGCAGGACGAGAGTAATCCTTCCCAAGTGGTGAACACACCGTAACGCAACATTCTTTAGTTATAATAATAAAATAGGTTAATAAATGGCATCGAGCTCTACGGGAGTTTCCCATAAGCTATGAGAGTCTCGATACCACATTTTTCACAATCTAGGCCATTTTCGGTTCTAGAATTCATGCAGCACAGATTCTAGACAGGAGTCCATTTTTGATCACGCGTTGCGTGATAGTTGAAACTCTGTGTGTTCCACGTAGGTCAGCTCCAGTTGAATTTTTTTTTATGTAACGTGCGCTTATATGTGTAAGAAGCTCTGAAGATGCGGACGATAGTAAAATGCAGGAGTCAACTTCTATAGATCTGTCACGGTGTCCATATATTCTTATTCAATATCGTAAAATCATTGAAAAAGTGAATTCAGTGACTTGAGACATCTCTACCTTCTCCATGCTCTAAAAACCAGCATTGAGACGGCCACCTTTTCCTTGTAAGGTGAACTGATAGTGTTTCGTTTGATCGAGATTTTTTACGACTATCGAACATGCTTTGATCCCGTCGCAGTGAAATCAGGGGAAGCGGACTTGGGACAGAGGGCTGTGCTCTCATTATTTGCACTACGTACGATCTTGAATGGGATTAGAGGCGTTCAGAAATGATTACCCTCTGAGAACTAAAAGGAACAGAAGTTGATCTTTAGGAAAGCGTTTTTGACCTGAATTACTGAATGTTCAAAAGAACGGGTGTCTTCGGGCCATGCAACTGCTACCTCATCGTAATTGCTATTAACACTCTTGAGTACCTTACTGCATTCGCTTTTTTTTGAAAAATTGCTTTCTTGTTTTAAGTTATTCGCTGATGAGTGTGACCGCTTATTGAAATCAATGTCATTTGTTATAGGAAAGCGTAGATAAAAGTGCACACGAATCAAGCCGTGATAATGCTTTCGCTTCGCACTGGATTATGTCTATTTATTTTGCTTACACTTGGTATGACTTTCTCTTCTTCCATTCTGTTACAAGTTTTCAGAGGACTCTTTTCTTTTATCAAGATCTTCGACGGGTGCATGGAATACGGTGTTACTCCTTTACAAATTGTGTTAACTTCGTTGCTCAAACATCATCGTTATGTTCAGTTCAGATTATCAGTGGCCAAAATGTTTGTTATGTGAGTTTTTTATACATAGAATAGGAAGAAATCATCAATTGCTAATCATCACGGCGAAAATCACGTTCCCCGTTGCGCAAAAAGTCCATTAAGAAGTTTTAAGAAGAATGCATCCGTAAAACTACTTTTTACATTAGAGAAGATTTGAACAAGCGAGTGCTATTTATCGGGAAGCTACGTACGGTAGGAATTTTCATGAAAAACTAGAATTCTCCACTCGTAGAAAAGCGGTCCTCACGGCAGATGGGATTCGCGGAAGAGCCATGGTCCTGTTAGCAGTAGAGTCTTTCGCGGAAGAGTCGAGGTCCTGTTGGCCGAAGAGTCGGTTCTCGGAATGGAAGCTGAGCCACGACTCTTTCGGGAACCCATTCTTCCTCCAAACGGCTCTTCCGCGAACAGAGTCCTGAGTCTTCGGCGTACCGACTCTTCTGCAAACAATACGCCGACTCCTCCGCGAACAGACTCTTCCTTGAATCGACTTGTACCCGAGCCGACTCTTTCGCGAATCGACTCTTGTAGAAAAGGTTGTGCAAGAAGATTGTGCAAAAAGTTTTAAAGTGGCTTCAACGAGAAATACTGACTTACCAGATAAGCGCCTAAGAAGCTGAAGCAAGGTTACACTATGTGATGAAAATATCCTGGGTGTGATACTACTTTTCGAACCGATTCTCACAGTGCCCTCACTGGGCCCCTCACATACACTGCCAGAAATATCTAAATTTGTATTAAGAAAATTTCGTCAAGGAGTCGGTTCGCGAAAGCCTCTGCCTCGAGGAGCCCCGACCCACCCTTCCGCGAACAGGCCTCCGACTCCTCTGCAATCAGGACCTAAACTCTTCCGCGAATCGACTCTACCACGAACACGGCCCGAATCCTCCGCGAACAGAACCCCGACACCTCCACGAACCGACTCTTCTGCAAACACGACTTCAACTCTTCCGCGAACCGGCTCTTCTTCAAAGAACCGCAAGAAGTCGTTTGCAAAAGAGTCGGTTCTCGGAAGACCCGGAGTCCCGTTTGGAGAAGAGTCGATTCACGGAATAGTCGGAGTCGTGTTCGCGGAATAGCCGATTCGCGGAAGAGTCTGAATTCCGGTTGCAGACGGGACCGCGGATCTTCCAAGTTTACACTGTATGATGAAGGGATCTTTGGTGTGACACTACTTTTTGGTTCGTGGAAGAGTCGTTCGGAGGGCTGCGTGATTACAATTACAAAATGTAAAGTTCAAACACTGCTATTATTCCTAGAATTCTGAACTTTACATACATCTAAAATTCAACTTTACATGTGCAGAATTCTTACATGCATGTAAAATTGTACACACACACTCACCATCATTCCCACCCTCACCCCTAGAATTCAGAATTTTAGAATTCTGAACATGCAAAGTTCAGAATTCTAAAATTCTGTGTTCTAAGAATAATAGCTGTGTTTCAACTTCGTGGAAGAGTCGTTTGCGGAAGCGTCGTTCCGTGAATAGTCGTGTTACGATGTGTCCAGTTAGTGTCTTTGCTCCATTCATTTATGGCAGTGCGGGAAGTTGGTTCTTTTTCTAGAGTGTTGTGAATAAAAAGTTTAGCTAGAGGTGTCTATTTAGAATTTGTTTCCAATTTCGAATTGAATTTCAAACATCCACTAGAGAATCTGAATTTTGGATGATAAAAAATATATTTTTTTGACTATTTTAAGACAATAGAAGCAACAGCAAGAGCAACAAGTTCATCCAGCGTGGTTAGCGATTATGCAAAAGGTGGTAACGTGACGGCAACGGCTATTGGTTGCGGCTGCAAAATTTGCCTGAATATACCATCAATTGGTCAAACATCTGTTTCAACGATTAATTGCTGCTATTCCTGGTCTGTTTTTGTTCTTTCCTCGCTTTGTTCTTTTGTTGTTCTTATCTTTTGTACGTGCTGTAGTAAATATATATATATATGTACTTTTCTTGTGTTAGAGTTTAGTTTTTTGTAGTTTGTGATAAAGAGTAGTCGAATAAAAGAGTAATACTACAGATCTTAACGCACGCATACAATCAACTCAAGGACTTATAATTAGAGGAAATATAGGTTCCTCACACTTGGCGATCTCGTCTTGCCGAACCTTCCGTTCTCCTGCAAAACTCTTCTTCTTTTTTTTCTTTCTATCTTTCTTTATATTGTCTGGTAAGTCACATTGATTTTTATCATGGCTGAATTTCATAATTTATTGACCTCCGAAAGGTCCATCCAGGCCCATCTTCAAAAGCTTTATGATAATCATCGGTCTCAGGCTGTACTCACAGATTCTCAAATACAGGAACAAAATGAAAAAATTGACTGTAAGAACCAGCATATCGAGAATCAACTTGAACTACTTCACCAAGCAGTCCATGCATTACAGTTGAAAGTAGATGATACTTCCTTGGCTACCAAAAACCAGTTGGAACGTTTGGCTCGAATCTTAGAGGACAGTCATCTTGCACTGCGCTCGACCATGTATGATTATCCCTCTGTACCTTTGCCTCTTCCTCCACTTGATCGTTCATCGGTTTCCGAACCACTTATTGTTTCCCCCTCTCTTCGCCGCCCTTCTGCGATACTCATCCTTACTGTTTCTCTAGTATACACTTTTGGGACATGTCCTTCGAACAGGGACAAGAAGAAGTGCCATTTGAACTCGGTGACTTTGTCCTTATCGGTAAGGAACATCGTAAGGTCCCAGCACGAATTACCCAAATTCTCTTTCTGCAGGACAAATATGAAATTGAATTCTATGATGGCTGTGACTTTCTCGCACAGCGCTATCTAACCTCGAGTTGTTACGTATTTCCTTACTCCATTCAGGATGACTCCCTTTATCAATCGTACACATCGGATATTCCTCTTTCTAACTCTGAAGATGAACGCACTCTGCCAGTAGATGCTGACTCAACTGACCTTCCCACAACGGAAGCTGAAATAGACCAGCTAACTCCGGTTTCTTCTTTGCCTACCGATAAACCCCTTGTGTCTGCTTCCGACGAATATGTCGATTCCCTCGCCGGTCTATCCGACATATTTTGTGAGCGTGATCCATATGAAGTTTTTTATGCCGAGGTTGCTGATGCAGCACCCATCCTTGACTTCCATGCGATCAAACTACATATTGATATTGAAGGAATCGAACCACCTACCCTTTTACCCATGCTGGTGCCAGATCTTGCTCCTTTAGAGGATTTATCACTGCCCGTGAAACCGATCGACACTCCAACTGGTTCGCTTCAAATTGATGTTGATTCATTTAGTACCTTTGTTTGTCGATCCTCTATGAAACCGGTGTCGGTAGTTTTACCTCTCGTAAGACCCCCTCAACCACTTATTCGTACGTTTTGCAAATCGGAAAGTGCTCCTGATTCCGAGTCTGATTCTGTCCACATTTTCCGGCAACCAGTTCCCTCATCTAACCTTAAAACACGGGATTCGATTCCAGTTAGATCTGCTCGAGATGAAACGTTTTTTCTAGCATTATATCGAATTATCCCGACAGTTCTGCTTGTCTTTACCTTATTCGGATTGATCATGCACCGTAACCACACTCCACGATCTCTACTGAACCTCCAGCTCGGGGAAGCCCATCCTCTTCTTGATCGTTTCTTGTTCTTTCCTAATAATCCCCTCCGTCACTGTCTCCTTATCCTTAATTTCCTAGCACTACACTCGGAGTTTCGGAAGTGGAAGTACAAATAATCTACTCATCTCTGGATATCCATCTATCGCTCATAGGTTTTACCGGTTTCACACGGATCTTCTCTCCACTTATCCTTCTTCTTTTTTAAGTAGCTTACATTTCGTCGACACTGTGATAGTGTTAGACCTCGGTTATTTTTTATCCTTTTTAAGTAGCCCACACTTCGGGTACTTACATGTTCTTCCCCGCAGAAATATTTGCCCAAGGAACCTCCTCTGTCTTCCGTAACTAATCGATATTTCGCCACAAGACCTTCTTGTTATCTTCTGCAGAAATCGATATTTCTTCACAACAGCTTCTTCTTTTCTACACCACTAAAACTCTTGTGTTTCTTCACAAGAATTACCTCCCTTCAGCTCAAAAATTCGCTGTTTCTTGCGAAAAACTTCATCTTTACGCCAGGAAAACTTTCTTCACATGGACTTCATCTTCTTTCCACGACTACGCGGTGTTTCTTCATAGGAACGTCATCGTTTCCCCACGAAAAGACGGTGTTTCGTCACAAGAACTTTATATTTTATCAAGGAAAACTCGTTTCTTCACAAGAGAGTCATATTTTCTCCACGAAAAGTCGATAGAATTTCGTCCTTTCAGCATGAAAACTTGATGTTTCTTCAGAAGAACTTCATCTGTTATCCACGAAAACACAGTGTTTCTTCACATGGACTTCATCTTTTATCCATCACAACTCGATGTTTCTTCACGAGAATTTCGTCTCTTCGGCACGAAAGGGCGGTATTTGTTTAGAACACCTTCATGTTTTCGCGGAGAAAACCTGAAGGTGAAAACATGAAGATGAATTTCTTGAGAAGAAATTCATCTTTTCTCCACGAAAACTCGGTATCCACGAAAACTAGATGTCTCTTCACAAGTACTTCATCTTTTCTATTCTCGTAAGAACTTAGTGTGTCTTCAGGAGAACTTCATTCTTTTCGCTTAAGAACTTGGAAGGAAACACCGAGTTCTTGACGAAAGACAATGAATCTCTTTTGAACAAAAACCAAGTTCTTGAGGAAAACTCGGTGTTTCTTCACAAGACCTTCATCTTTTTAGCACGAAGACTAGGTGTTTCTTGAGAACAACCATGAATAGTCGAATTTCGTCCTTTCAGCACGTAAACTTTGTGTTACTTCAGACGAACGTTATCTCTTCTCTACAAAAACTCGATGTTTGTCCACAAGATATTCGTCTTTTCAGCACGAACTCGGTGTTTCTTCATAAGAACGTCATCTTTTCCATAGGCTGTTTCCTTTCAGCCTTTTTATGATGACCAAAACTTTTATCAAAAAAACTGTGCCAAGACTTTTAAAATGTTCATGTGACTTCTTTTTCAAGGGAAAGAAATCCACATTTGTTCTTGAACAAACAAACAACAACATTTGTTCTTGAAACTACATGTTATATAGATATAACAGTATTTAAAACATCGTGTCGCCAGCTCGTGCAGAGCATCGAATTAGTCTTATATCATTAAATATAGGATACTAAGTGCTAAAAGTAGGATAGAATAGTGTTCTGAGTTAGATACAGTACTGCTTGTGAGGAACCTATATTTCCTCTAATTATAAGTCCTTGAGTTGATTGTATGCGTGCGTTAAGATCTGTAGTATTACTCTTTTATTCGACTACTCTTTATCACAAACTACAAAAAACTAAACTCTAAC